GGAGGGGGGGAGAGAGAGAGAGAGAGAGAGAGAGAGAGAGAGAGAGAGAGAGAGAGAGAGAGAGAGCTGGTGGCAGCCCACCTGAACGGACGCCTCGTCGCTCCCTCTGCCTGCTCGAGCTGCCTCCTGCTGCCTGCTGCTGCCTCCCGCTGCCTTCTGCTGCCTCCTGTTTCCTCCTCGAGCTATGGCTGAAGGTGCTGCCGAAGGGCTGGTCCGATGACGACAACGAAGAACAGGCCGCCGCCGAAGGAGAACGGGCGGGCAGGCCGACGACGACAACGAAGAACGGGTGGGCAACTGAGGCGTGGGGTTGGCCTGAACCCCGTTGGGGAGGTCTGAGTAGTTCGAAAACGAAATGCTCAGATCTCTTCCCAAATTTTTTTACGGGCCCGCGTGCAGCCCGAAAATTTTTTTGCGCGCCCAAACGACCATTTTCCCCCGGCAGCCCCCCGGGCCTAATTCCCCCCCCCCCCAAAAAAAAATAAAATTTCCGCGACCCCTCATTTTCCCTCTGCGGCGCATGTCGTGCGCGCGCCAGCTGCGCGGTGCGCTGTGCGCCGCTCCTGCCGCGATGCCGCGCACGACATGCGCCGCAAGTATGGAGAGTACCAATCAATCAGCAAGTGCGGGCAGATCCGGTCCAGCAAGGATGTGTGCGCGTGGACGCTAATTAGGCCAGCATGAGAGGGCCGATCCAAACCAGCAAAATCCCGGCCAACCGTGATATGCGCGCGTGCGTGCGTGCCAACTAAAACAGTATGAGAGGGCCGATCCAGATCAGCAGTTGCGGGCGCATGGGGTAGATAAGAGCATACTAATTCAGGGGTTTGAAGCAGGGTGAGAATGAACACTAGCTGGGGAGAGAGTGGGAGAGAGAAGAAGGGGAGAAAAGAGGAGCGAGGAGGGAAGGTGAGGAAAAGGAGGGTAGTGCGAGCAAGCAGCAGAAGTGCAGCAGGCCAAAATGAGACACCCTGGCTACTGCACCCGCCAAAAGCTGCCCAACTCTCCCTTACCTCTCTCCCTTGCTTGCCTCGATCTCATTAAGCTTGCTCCTCTCCTGCTCGTCCCTGTGCCTTGGCCTTGGCTCCTGCAGCTCCTTGCTATTCCACCTGCGTTTCGGTGCTTCACTCAAGTGTTGCCTCCCTTTCTTGAGTGACACGACCTCTCTTTTATAGCAGAGAGGCCAGGTGATCAGGCCCAAGTGCAGCAGTCCCACTGTCGGGGCCAGGGCTAAAAATAGACCAGACCTGTGCTAAAATTAGCACCAGTTCCGACCTTGGGATGCGAACAGCCAGTCCTATGCTAAAAATAGTGTGTGCTAATTTTAGCACGTGACTGGGACAGGCCCAGTGTCCGGTAGATGAACAGACAGTCCCACACTAAAAATAGCGTGGGACTGCGCTAATTTTAGCACGGGACTGGGACAGGCCCGACTTTGGGAAACGAAGAGTCAGTCCCACGCTTAAAATAGCTTGACCCAGTGCTACATACCCGGTCGTACCGGGGGGTCCACCCCCACCGGAACCGGGCCGGTGGGACTGGCCGGTCGACCGGTCCGGTTGCCTCCCGACAGCCTACAACGCATCACAGAAAAAAGGCCGAAACAATTTTTTTTTGGGCCAGGAGGCCCCCACACGGGTTGTGGGGGCCTCCTGGCCCAAAACAAAATTCGAACCGGTACCGCAGGCCCGCCTATGTGCTTCCAAAACGGCGGCCTCTCCGGACCGCTGATCGAGGCAGATCGGCGGCCTCATCTGGGCCGCCGTTTTGAAAGTTGGAGGGAGGGCAGTCCTCCCCATTTTCCCTCCTTTCAGAGTTGGAGGGAGGGCAGTCACGAGTTGCCCGTCGCCATCGTCGCCCGTGGCAGCTCCCGTCGTCGCCTCCTCCTTGTCGTCGTCACCCGTGGCAGCTCCCGTCGCCGTCCTCGTCGTTTTCGTCGTCGCCCGTAGCCGTCGCCAGCAGCTCCCGTCGCGCGTAGCCCGTCGCCGTCCATGGCCAGCAGGCCCGTCGCGGAGGTAAGTGCCAATTCTCTTCTTCTTCTTCTTCTTCTTCATCCCTGCTTCTTCTTCTTCTTCCTTTATTCTTCTTCTTCCTCTCCTTCTTCTTCTTCTTCTCACTCAAGCTTACCACTTCCGAGAGAGAGAGAGAGAGAGAGAGAGAGAGAGAGAGAGAGAGAGAGAGAGAGAGAGAGAGAGAGAGAGAGAGAGAGAGAGAGAGAGAGAGA